AATGTAGTTACAATGTCTTTGGTTAACACTCTTTGTGTTGTATCGCTGTAAGTGAAGCGAAACGCTTCGCTCACGTCTCTTTTAATAGCCTTTTATTAGTTTTTATTCTGTCTGAAACATCTAAATTGGGAATTTCAGTCGCAAGGGATTTTTCTGTTGAATATGTGGACCTGTTAAGTAACTAGTACTTAAGTAAGTATTGTATAAAAATGAATCGTATATTATTCTTATTAATATGATAAATGTCCGGCTACGGTAGTGTTAGTGACATTATTATCATTTTTCTACATGGGACAAGCCGGCTTACTATTAAACGGATCACCTGATGGTAAGCCAATCAGCGTCGCCCATGGACACTTAGAATACCAGAGGCATTACAAGTTCGTTACCGGCCTTATGGAGATTAGGAATTTCAGGAATGTTGGGGATTCAGGGATTGGGAAGATTGGGGAATGGAGGGGATTAAACGCGACGAAACACAACGCAAACGTTGTTTCACGTCGGTTTTCTGTGAGATCGTGGTATTACTCCGATCGACCGTCCCCGTTCGTGCCGAAGCATGGCTCTCCTACACTTAAATACACTAATCAAGCCACCAATCAAATCTAGTTCACATATTCAGCAATATCCCAAACAAAATTGTACCTATAAGAAAAAATATTGCCTCAAATATTTCCCTTTCTACAGATATTTAGTAAAAATAACCGTTGCAACAATGACTAAGCATTACTTTACTTTGCCCAATGACAACCACAAATGTTACGGACACGAAGATTATCATCAAAAGCAATATTTTCAATAATAAAGTAAAACGGTCAGTACGTATCAATGGCGCGATGATTTTGCATAATTTTATTGATCCAAATCAGCGTGCATCATTCGTCATTCGGTCAATAATGCGTATTTAAAATTGTCATTTTTAGATAGTGATGTGTGACAGTCGATATCGAGTTTTCTATATTTTTGAGAATTTGGTCTACTGTGAATTTGCGTATTTTTGATTAAGTTGTAATTGTTTGATGTCAAAAAATTTTAATTGTAATTGTTTAATATCATAGTCAAGTAAGAATATCTTTAATTTAATTACTTTGCAAAAGCTTATTTAAAACTTATTTGGAGTCCACTCAACGTCAGTAGACGTCGCGGCAGGCCCAAAAGGAGATGGCGGGACGAATTAGACATCTATGACAAGGATTGGCCGCAAAAAGCTTTACATAGAGAGGAGTGGAAGGAGGGTAGAGTTTGCCCTGCAGTGGGACGATCATGACTAAAAAAAAAATAAAAATAAAAATAAATATTTAAAATAGCCCTACGTCCCGTATCTGTTTAATGAAATTAAAACCTTTGAAATTATTGCCTTTTTACATTTTCTTACACAATAAATTCACAGCCATGCAGTTCTAACAACATCCTTTAGAACAATCTAATCTATTCATCGACAAGCTCTCACGTCGCCCATGCCCTCACTAACATAGTGTTGTGCAAATCTCAGTGTTGACCGATGGTGCGTGGCAAATGAGTCGATCAATCATTGCCTCTGCACTATTGTGATGTACCTACCAGGTGCAAAAGTTCATTGCAAACCTACCAATGTATGTAGCAAATCAAGTTATACCTTAATTTATTAGATTGTCGATCTTATATTGTTCTGTGGTAAAGTTGAAAATAAAATGCTGATGTTTGATAATCTAGGGTAGGTTGATATGCTGATGTCTAGTTATTTATAATATTTTTTAAGTCTTTTTGTAAACACGTGCGAGCTTGTAACTACTGTAAAATTGATTTGTTATTTTTTTATGAGTTAAACGAGTAGACAGATCACCTGATGATAAGCAATCGGATGCCCATGGACACCTGGAACACCAGGGCCGTTACAAGTGCGTTACCGGCTTTTGGGGATTAGGACTTTAAGGATTGTTGGGGATTCAGGGAATGAGATTGGGGGGCGTAATTGGGCCACCCTCACACGATGAAACACAACGGGACCGTAATTTTACATCGGTTCTATGTTTTGCCGTGATATCACTCCGGTCGAGCCGACCCATTCGTGCCGAAGCATGGCTCTTCCACACTTCTTCCACAGTTCTTAGTTTAGGTTGGCTTGTCGGTTGACTGGTAAATGCAACTACAGAACTTAATATCTTGAGCTCGATCCCCGGGGAGGTACAAAGGATAATGTTGAGTTTTTACTTTTCAGTGATAGCAAGTAACACTACTTGGATGTTTTTAGTAGATATTGAAAATTATATGTTTGCACTTTTTGTTCGTTTGTTTGTTCACGTGCATTCTCTTTGTTACAACTCTACTGATGCTAAAAACTGTTTTACGGCTCTGATCAGTCTTAAAATATGTTTTATGAACTACAAACATACTCTGCAGCTATTGACATAATTTATCTTCGCTTTCATTTTATTGCACTGAGTCATTCGAACAAAACAAAAAATCAACAGTTGTATTAAATTCCTTGTATTTTATATTCACCCCAAAATAATTGGGTAGTTTCCAGGGTAAGAAAATTAAATATATAATTAGTCCATCAGTTAGACAATGAAAAAATATTAGACACGTATTATTTATTTTCTCGTATAAAGTTACAATTTTTAGATAAAATGGAGTTAAGTTTAGGAGTGGGAGGTAGTGTGACGTCACACGACATTTCAAATCAATATATCGTATCGTATACGTATCTAATGCTTTAAAATAATCTACTAGATAGACATTAATATAAAATTTAGGAAACTAGCCTATTATCATTGACTACATAGGAAGCATTGTATACTGCTATAAATGGTTAATTAGAATACAGAGTTTTGTTACATATTAAAACATAGTAACTATATTTCATTATTTTAACATGAGGCTTGGATAAACAACAGACTTGGAACATGAACATACATATATCCATCTGCGCCAACAGCTAATAAACTACAACATCAACAGCCTATAAGTGGCCACTGCTGACCAAAGGCCTCTTCTAACGGAGAAGGTTTTTGAGCATTAATCGACATGCTTGCTCAATACGTGTTGGCAATGTCAAACTCATAATTAGAAATTATAAGCTTAGGTTTGCTCACGCTGTTTTCCTTCACCGTTTGTCCAGTGATACCACTGTATCAAAATAATCTTAGAAAGTACATATAACTCGGAAAAACTCACATTGGTACTTGCTGTTGGTAAGTTTCAAACCCCCTCAATGCATGAGAAGCGGGAGTCTTAAACCTCCGGGCAACCACGACTATCTAATAACCTAACTATTTTTATTTATGTATGTATTTAATTTATGTATGATTGTGTTTTCTTTAATTGAATTGTATTGCTTTTACCTGAGTTTCTTGATTTTTATGTGATTACTTTTAATTTTGGTTCAAAACCGTATTCGACACAAATGTAAATTTGTTTATGAATAAATAAATAAAAAATAAATTAACACTGGCTTTTTAGCGTGCGAAACAAAGTATTTCCTTACTATCTTAACATCTAAAATCTGAGCATAATTCACAAACAAAAATATCTCCATCAATACACTTCCACAAACAACCCTAAAAAAACTACACGTAAAAGTTAAACACCCCAATAATGTCCAAAGTAAAAGAAACAAGCTTCTTAACTTTCAAATCAAACAGACGCACCCTGTACATTGTTGACCAAACTTCACATGACCCGAATCACCGCTAACACGGGACCCCTGTTTATAACCAATAAAAATCACCCACAAGTCCGGCCCGGATATCAACCTTTCTCACCCTAAAAATTTAACAATACCAATTTTTCTTTCAAAGAAAAACAAAGGAAAATAACCCGTATATGTTTAATGTCTAAGTCCTAAGCAACTCCACGTGTATGGTTGTTTTATTCATCTCAATTTCAAGTGATTTGCTCCATATGTCGAGAACAAGTGAACTGGCTTCTTAACGCGCTGGACACCCCAAATTGAGGGTTTTTCGAGGGGAAATTGTCGGGTTTATTGGAATTTCCTATGGGTTTTCACACGTGGTGAGTGCCTTAGGGTAGAGATTATGATCGGTTGTCGAAATATGTTTGATTCAACACCTCGAATGAGTGGTGCGGAAATGTGAAGAAATTGACATGATGGCATTCAATTGAATATAATCGAGATGGATAGGATAGGTGCCGATATACCCAAGTGGTCGTCAGAAAGGTTGTCTGAAAACCTAAAGTTATTGGTGTGATTTTTTGGTACCTTTAAGACTACAATTATAACATGTATTGTTGGTTTATAAATTTAAGAAAGTGTTAGGTATTTTGTTAAGTTCGGATCGGATATGTGACAATGACCTTATTGAAAAGAATGTGGTGACCATTCTTAACAATTTTATTTTATTACATAGGACAAACAACATAACTATAAAAAAGTTTTTGTATGGGATAAGCCGGTAAACGAACAGGCGGATCACCTGATGGTAAGCAGTTGGCGTCACCCATGGATACCTGTACCACCAGAGGCGTTAAAATGAATTGGTATAAACATGTATCATGGACCTCTTTTCATCTTAATGAAGGAAAATACTAGTTTGCAAAATGTAGAACTCCAAAACTATAAAGCTAATCTAACACTCAAACATTTTTCTTCTCACAAAAAATATTTGGCGTAACATTATAGCCGTCAATAATTCATTCCATCCTCACATCAGCGCCCCCTAGCGGGCGGAAGCGGCTCAATTGGGCGGAAAGGCGGCTTGACCGCAGAGGTCGAGTGACCCTTCCCTTGCGCCTTTCAATCATAAGACCTTTTATAAGGGCGGCCTTTGAGGAGCTCCTTTGAAGAATTTGGAGAACTTTTGTACAATTATGTGGTTCTTAGAATTGGCTCGTGTAGGTTACAGGTCGGGTGTGTATCTTTGAAACTTAATTAATCTCGTTTTGTGAAGTTACAATTAACTCTTGGGAGAAACCAGGGTAATTTAGACCTGTTTGTAGCTTATAATTGTGTAATTAATCCAATTCGGTATAAGGAATAAAACAGTGAAAAATGAGCGACAAAATTTAATACAAACGTCAAAAAAATATCCTTCACTACACAAAAACATCATAATTATAAATGCACCACAAATTTTCACTGTCACCTCACACGGTCATATGCTTGTACTTTATAAATTTATTGGTAACAAGATTTCAATCCTATATTTGTATCTTCCTTCAATACATTAAACTGGCACCCGAACCATGCGGCCATCGGTCACGGTGGTAATGTTGGAAAAGGTACTTATTTTGATAAGTTCCTTTGAATACGTAGAAAAAAATTGAAAGAGCAATATTCATCTTCAAGTTCATGCGTGCCTCATGGAAGGACGTTTCAGGTTACACAAAGGCCACTTTGACAACTGTCTGTAGCACTAACAACACGGTGACGAAGAATAGTATTGTGGGCGGTATTGTCTTGACTGCTTTGCCACTGGCTGCAGTCAGCGTGCGGGGTGCTATCACGGGCATCGCAAATGCCTGGTTGTTGCATCGGTTTAGCTGTAAATTAAAAGATATTGTTAAAAAACACGGAAAGGAAAAAAAATCTGCCGATGACTGATATCCAATGAATCCTAAATAAGATTTTATCGTTTATCTGTTCAGCAAACAACCATCTAAGTTTAGACACCAATATGTTCTCCCACCCTCAATGGAATAAGTTCAGTGACAATAGTTATGAAGTATTTGTTTTCAAAAATATCAATAATGTCAACCAAAATTGAACACCAGAAGCCAACGATTTAAAAATCTTGAAATTATTGACATCAAGGAGAAAACGAACCAATTGAAAACCGTTAGCACAGCAAGTTATAGAAACTTCAATTTATCTATGAATATGTTTTGAAGTAACATTTACACAAACAATTTGAACAATATACCTCGCAGCAAGTAGTCTCCGGTGAGCCAACACAGCCAGAGCGGCAGCCTCGCACCACCGCCTCGTATGAGTTGCCTTTTGATATGACAGACGTAAAGCATTTGTCGTCCACACTGTGACATGTGATCGTGTGCACTCTGAAAATAACAAAAACTTAACTGAGTTGTTAACAACAGAAATAGGATTTGCAGGCTAGGAATTAGCGCTACCTTTCTCCGAAGCGGTTAAAGTTCGGATGTCTCTTACTGAAGACAACAGGAGTGTACTTAGGCCTGAGAAATTTTCAATTTCGTTGGTATATTTTAAGAAATAAAGGAGCTCTAAATAGATATTGCTGTTACACAATAATACTTTTATTGTATCTGCAAATACACAATGATTAAAAGCCTGCATAGTGGAACTATAAGAGATTTCGCCTATTGAAATTAAAGTAGAATCAAATCAGATCTTATCAAACTATCTAGCTATCGCTGAACACATTTGGTAATTATTGACGACCCCTTTTTACAGGCATCTCGTAACCCATGAATTAAGACATTTGTGAATATCATCACACCTTACTATTGGATAATATTATTGCCAAACTTTTTAATTTTTCTGCGTTAGAATTTCAGATCAGATATCAATAGGAAGATTTTTACATAGTAGGTATAAATCGTGTTCAGTTAAGAAACGACAAAATACCTGTATTTAGTCGGATCCAAGCACGCTCTCAACGGCGTCTCGGCTTTGTAAGCGCACACATAGCATTCGAGGGGCCGTTTTTTTACAGTTCTAGTGACAGTCAGTGCTTTAGGTGTTGGTACGATAGGTGGCGGTCGCCGTACTACTGTCACTCTTTCTCCTTTGTCCGCTGCAGCTGCAGAATCATCGTCTTCGTCATCTTCGTCATCCTCATCCTCCTCTTCACCTTCTTCATTTCTACTGCTTGAAGTCGAACTTTTTAAACTTTTATTTGATATAATTGTTATATCGTTTTAGTGGGTTGGAATATGGAAGGTAAGGAAGTATAGCGTTACATTTCTTACAGTCAGTTTCAGTTTTTGAATAATCAAAATGTTACATCTACGTGATACATTAAAAATGGAGGTTGACCATAACATTAGCTTTAAATTTTTATCAGGAGCTTGAACTATGAAACTGACCGTAAGTCAGTCGAGGTACGACTGTAATCTTATAGACTACAATACATGGGAAGAGACATAGAATGCTAAAAAGCTAACAAATATGTTATTAATAAAATAAAAGAAATTAAAGTTATGAAGCTAAACTAGTGCTGATATCTTGGACAAAAATGACTTTTTTTTGTCTCAGCCACTTTTATAGTCTGTTTATGTCAACATGACAACCACATGACTGTCCACATCGGATGCCATTAGGCACATCAATATGATACGTTTCATGGATTTTTTAAGACTCTGTATAGAAGGGGACACTCACTCTTCATCGAAGTCTTCAGTTTTCGCTGGTAGAAGGAGCAGCATTGCCAGCGCAATGCAATACCTCCACCGAACCATTTCACCACTTAAATCACCACCTGGCCAAAACTAAACATCCACTAGACATTGAATTTGTCATTTTCCTTTTTTTAATAACCAAAAAATAATATATTATTGTGAGATGTGAAGTGACCAAGAATTTTGTAATTGACAGCTCACGACATCAGATTTTCGTGTTTGGAATTTTTTCTTTGTTTTTTTCTGGCGTTGTTTGAAGTATCTTGATTTTACCTCTTTATGTTTCCATAGATTTATTCTCGCTGTGGTAAATACTAAAGAAGGAAAGAAAATTAAAGAGGATCGTCATAAATATTCAAAATATTTTGAGATAGATGGAGATACAGTGCAAAACACATTAATTACATACCTTCTGAATCTGGACAAGATGATGTCTACCTAATATGATGAAAAACAATGACAAACAATTAATTTTTCTATCAACGATTCTTTAAATGTTAAGTTCTTATCACAGTGATACTACCAAAGTCATGAGACATAATACAAAAACACATAACTTTCTTTGGACTACCATTTCACTACAGATCGGGAGCGTTCACATCTCCCCTAATAATACAACAGAATGGACTCAATTGTGCCATCTGTTGTCAAAAAGTTGAACTAGCTACTCACGGAGAGATGGCGCTGCACTAAATTAATAACACTTGTAGATATGAAACTGCGGAAAAATGTGTGAGTTTGTGATAGGATAACAAAATAATTAGAAAAAAAAGTTTTACGCTCGCATCTAACGCTACACTTGTCTAAAATATTTTTCTTCAAGTAATATTATTAGTCCTTTCTTTAGGCAGAGTTTTATGTGTTGAATAAGTGGCAAATCCGGACTTATAGAATAGGTACCTACCTAAGTAGGGATCCCAATGTAACTAACATTTTAGTAATTATATGTATTTTAACTAATGAATAGGTACACATGTACCTAATTAATGATAGTTAGAAAAACTTATATGTAGAAGAACTATCATTAATCAGAAGCTTTTCTTCCTGCAGCTCTATTGATCTATAATTTAGAATCAGGTTCATTGATCTCCTTTTTCCCTTCTTTCCAACCAATCATCATCTCTTTGGAAACCCCTTCTCCTTACATATCATTCTTAACATTATTTAGATCGTCCTCTTGTTTTCCAATTCAAACCAAGTGATAAGAACTAATTTCAATTCTCTTATTGCTGTCGTCTACGCTGTCTCTGTTACCGCTCTGTTGCTTGGAACACCGGCCAGAGAATAGTCGTTATTAAAATATAATGTACTTCATTTTTAAGTTCCAGCTTAGATTCATTATTTGGTCCTTAAGTTCTGAATCTATATGTCATCATTTTTTTTTAGTTATGAGAAAAAATAAAATATTTTATGATAGTGATACATGTCAGACAATGTAACGCCAATATACTAAGTGGACTAGTATTCTGATTATAATAGTTATTTGGGAAATATCAAAGAACACGTTAGGAGGCGAGGAGGGACAGGATTTTTTTTATCGAGTGGGGATTATCATCCAATGTTTCTTCCGCTCGGGTTAGGCGAGAGGAAGTGTCAGACTCTTATTGACTAAGAACCACCCTATTCCTACTCCTGCACTTCGAGGAGACCCGGCAGTCCTTTAAGTCCTCCGCCGCTCCGTATCAGCATCAGCCCTATGGGACCCCATCTGTGGTGGTCCCACTTTGAGGGGCGCGCGAAAATAGTTAGGTACCTAACATGCTTTATTGACTGTACCGAATAGTATACCTACTTGACCAATATTAATATTGGTTCCGTTAAACGTTAAATTAGAACATTTAATTTTACAACAATATGAACCATTTGCATTCTATTCTTGTGCCATTTTTACCGTTATATTTTTATAAATCAATTCGTGTTGGAATCTTGGTATGTATCAGTTGAGTTGTCCAAGTCATATTAATATAAATACTTGCTTTCCAAGTTAAATTAAACCCAACTGAAAATTAGTTAAAGAAAATATCGTATAGAAACCTTATAATATTTAAATAGTGGGTCTGAAGTCTGAAATCACTTATCCGCCTTGAACGAGTGCGGTGACCAATGAGTTCAACTCCGTATAAGAAGAGGCTTTAGTTCAGCAGTGAAACAATTTATAGACTGATACCAATATCGCTATTAAGTAGTGTAGAATTAATTGTATCAGTTAATTTTAATTTTAGGTTATTAATGCCCGTCCTACAATTTCCTACAGATCCACAGTGCAGATTAATAGAGTTCTATATTAGTTTTAGTCGCTAAAGGTTAAAATTCAATAATTAAATTCAAAATGTCACAATAAGGTCTTAAGTAAAATGGAATAGTTTAGCAAAACAATATATTGCTCTGATTTGAGAGCCTCTTTAGTAAATGACGTTGCTTCGATAGCTTAAATGATGCTGTAAACGCACATGTGTTAAACATGAACATAGTGGTGTGGTTCAATGTTCCTATCAAAGAAACCTAGTATCTGTCACCAGCATGGCGGCAGGCACAAGCGTCCCGTCCTAATAACCTTTCCATCTGCGGTGCGCCATGAATAAGTGAACAGCAAGCCTTAATGTAACTCTTTCATGAACGCACACACGTGCGGCCTCCCTTTGCGTGGTGCACGCTGCAGCTCTCAGCTTATCGGCCGCACAAAGCACCGCGCCGGGCAACCGCAATCCCCCACCGGGCCCCGAATACACGACCTCATTAAAAAATGAAACCTCACAAACATGCCATAAGCCCACAAAAACCCCCCAAGACTCGTCAAAGCGAAAAACGCTACCTACCGGAGAGTAGCGGAACTACGCCACTCGCGGAACCAACCTCTGTACTTTTTTAATTAGCCTCATACACTGAGTGAATGCGTGAAATACGTTAGATTTTTTTTCTCATACGCGGTTAGTTTGGTAGCTTTGAGTAAAGTATGTTAATTCACAAGTAGCCTGCTCTCGGTGCTTTTTGAACTGTTTAAAAAAAGGGTTCTGTGGATAAGGCTTATTTGATAACTTTGAGCTTTGAGGGGTTAATTAGCGAGAGAGAGTTATGTAGAATAACCATAAGTGTGATTACGATGAAAATCGGGTGGTCGTCTAAGGCGGACAGGTGACGCGATGAAGCGGGCGTGGAAGCGTCCCGAAGCTCGGGGAAGTCTGAAACTTCTTTTATCTCAGTCTAGGTTCGCTCAAAAAGTGCAAACTCTGTACAAAGTTCACTTTCGCCTTGTGAACTAATTTTTCGCTCGGTGTCAAGTTCATGGCTGGGAGGCGGGGCGCTGGCGTGGGCCGCGGGGTGCGGGGCGCGCTATGATAAAATAAAATATTCATTATGATTGCTCAACGCGGCAATGTTCGCGAGAGCACGGGTAGTCCTGTTGGAGCGTCTTGGCCACTGAAGACGTTATGTTTTGTTTTTATGTTGGGAGTATGTCTGTGTGTATTGTAGTTTATTGGTCCGTCACCTAAGCATTAGTTAGTCCTTTATGCTTGACTTAAAAATACTTTCTGATATCGAATTAGGGTTTCTTATAAGAATTATTTTAACTCAGTCTCATAAGAATAGGTGAAACTTCCAGTAGCCTCAACTAGAATTAAATGTGTACTTATTCTGAATTCCAATAGGAAAATTGTTTTCTTCTTTTTTCCATTATAAAATACAGGTACAAAATTGCCAAACATCTACTATAAGTAGAATAACCTAACCTTAGGTCCAATAATTAAGTAATTCACAATCACATCACGCAATAACAATCTCTCCTATAATAACCTCCTTCTCTTGAAGTCAGTTAAAAGAAACATCACACACAACACTCGACACCTAAATCCACCAACAACAACGGCCAATACAAATTTCGCAAACAATCTAAAAACGACTTCAAAACTGACGTAAAAATCGTCCCGGACCTGCCTCAAATGAAAGTAGATCGCGTCGGGTGACTGGCCGAGTTTTTCTCCCGTTTTTCCCTTAATTAGTCAGTTAATCCGAGGGGGAGGGGGGAGACTCATTAACGTTCGACACTCGATTCTTAGTCCCCAACACTTGTTGAGTCCCGTTTTTATGATAAATACGATCCACGGATACAAGAATGAATGAACATTTTTTGTTTAGAGCACTTTTGAATTTGTTTATGAAATTGTGATTCGCTGAATCTGTTTTTCGTGGTTTATTGTAATTTTAATGTTGATTGTGTTTGAGTTATTTTTGTTCGTGTTATTTAAGACTTTTCTTGTGTTCTTTTAGTGCAGATAGTTAAGTTCTTTGGGCGCTTTTAAGTGGTAATTACACAGATTTTGTGTCATATTTCGTAAGGTAAGTAAAATCGGGACTGAGAAATTATTTCTAGTTAAATTTTTATAATAAGCATCGTGAAAAATACTAAATTATCTACAAATCGCTGGTTACTGAGAAAAGCTCCATTAGTTTCGAGCCACGGAGAGACTCTTCCTTATGAGCGCTGCTCATGCGAGGTCGCGGCGATTTCGCGTAGCCTACTGAAACTAATAGAGCTTTTATTAGTATTTTCACGTGAGTAACCCGCGATTTTTAGTTATGTTGTAAATATTGAATGCGATTGCAATTTGCCTTGTCGCCGGTTAGTGTATTACAAAATTTCTCAGAAAAATGTATCGTGTTTACTAGCACCTTTACACAGACATCTGTTACATCTTATTCGTAATGACGCTTTCAAGATCTGACGTATATTGTGTATGTGTCTTATATAACTGCCTTAAACACAAGCAAGCAATTATTTCCCAAAATGCAATGTGTAAACCTCACCCTTTGCAACGTCTAACTAAACATTTCCTAATTTTGAATCTTCAGCAACGTAGTAACTAGCGTTGGCAAATGAGACTCACACGCTGAAACCGACCAATCTAACATGACCTATCACTGCCTTCAACATTCCCCTAATAGTTTAGTAAAATATATAGGTTAAAGAGGGGTGGGAGGTCTTGTTCGGGTGGTGTTGTCATGTACATAGTACATGGTGCTGTCAGCTTAACATCCAACTTATTAGACGTTTCGGAAATTCGGTTTCGCCCCGCAAGCACCACGGGCTATGCTGACGGTAGTGAGGGGGTGAGCTGTACATCGATTTTGGTATCGATGAAAATGTTACGTAATTTACACAAAATATTGCTAAAGAAAAATCACTTTAAGTTTAAGATCACAA